TATATGTTCTTTATTCATACTTGAATACATCTTGTGTGTTTCCTTTTGAGTAAACTTCTATTTTTAGTGTAGGCGCTAAAGACTAGTTTTTTAAAACTATAGAATGACTTTAGTTATTTATTTCGGTGGATATAGAATTGAGTTGTTGATGAAATAAAATTTATACCTTATTTTTTAATGCGTAAATTAAAAATATAATTTATTTTTGTTTTCATGTGAAACTACAGTATTTACAAATGGCCCAACAAGAAATGGACATGATATTCTAATTGTGGCCCAATTGTCAAAGAGATTAACATAAGGATGCACACTATTTTTGTTCAGCAGCTAATGTATATTTGAATTGGTGGAGAATTGAATTTACTGATTTTTGAAAGTAGTAAATAATTATTTTTGTAGTGAACTCGCTATGATTTTATCTATTGAGTTAATCACTTATAAACTGTCAGTGTAAAGTTTTTTTTACACTGACAACTAATCATATTTTTTAATAGTGTCATGTCAGTTGTTTATTTAATGAAATAATAATAAAATAAGTAACTTTAAAAGATATAATTGGTTGTCAGTGTAAAATTTTTTACATTAATAGTGTATGGATGAGTAACTTTTATCTATTTATTGTTTTAAAAAATCATAGTGAATTCTCCACCAATGTAAACACACTAAATCAATTGCTCTTGAAATCAATCTTGCTTGAGTGCCATAAAGAGCTCAACTGCAGAAGTCAATCGCCACCACCGCTGGTTAAATCACTCAAATTAATAGGAATTATAAAGTAACAAGGAAGGAAAGATTCTTTCGATGAAAAACTTCTTAATATTTATAAATGTATGGAAGAGGTAAATGGGGTTAAGGGTAGAGTGGTAGACCATGTACCCAAAAAAAACAAGGGTCAAGGGATAACTAGAGAGTGCCATCATCAATCCCAAAATTTTGTAGCCTCATTTAAGATTCTTAAGTAGAAATATTTTATGGCACCATCGAGAAAAGAGAAAGAAAAAAAAATTCTTTATAAAAAAATTGAAATAAAAACACTTACAATTTAATTATCAAAATTAGATTTTTTCTTTAACTTTAAGTTATTTAGTAAAAACAATAAATATGCAAAAAAAAAATAAAATTACCAACAATATCCCTAACTTGTAGTTGAATAGTGAATACCTTTGCATTTTTTTTTTCATCTCTACTTTTTCTTATTACATAATTAATTTTATCACATATATTTATGTCAATTATTTATAAGAAAATATTGTATAGAATTAATATAGTAATAAAATTTGTCTTGTTTCTTGTCATGTTGCTATCTCCCAGCTCTAAAGGATAGATCGACAGCTAATTAACAAAATGGGATGAAGTGACCTGCGAAGACCACTGGAAATACTACTTTTTAAAATTGTTTAGTTGACGATGAATGCAAACACAACATCCAAGATCATGGCATGCGTGTCGTCTTCTTCTTTTCTTCTTTCATTTGTTGCGTTCCACGTTCCAACGTAATAAACATGTGTCATTGGGTGCTTCTGGGGTGGCATTGGTTGTGGAGAACAAAAACTTTGATAGAGTATTGGTTTAGGATTTTATAAGATTTTAAAAGATTTTTTTTTTAGTTAAAAAGTTTGTAGGTATTCAATCAGGATTTTATGTCACTTAAAAATAATCTAGTAATATTTAATATAGATTTTTAAGATTTTTTTAAGAGTCTATTAAAATTCATTGGTATTTATTTGATACCTTTTAATTTACAACTTAAAATAATTTATTGGTATTCAAAATATAGGAATTTTAAAGGATTGTTGTATTAGAAGAATTTTGAAGAACTTTTTAGTGGTATCTATAAATATCAAATTCATAAAACAATCTCATCTAAACTCATCAGATTTTGGAGGATTATTTGAAGTGACTTTTCATCTCTTTTTTTTCTATGCTCATGTCTTCTCCATTTTTTTCTCTTGCTAATAATATTGTATTATTGCTCATATATAATATTGTATTACTATTCTCATTCCATTCTCCTATTTGGTAAAACTTCTATATGTAAATGATAGTGTCATTAACCTGGTCTATTTTTCTCTCCGTTCTCTTTAATTGACTTGTTCTATTTTGTTCTATTTAGTTGATATTGTTCCTCAGTTAGATAACACAAAAAACGCTTGAAATTTTAACTTTTAAGTAGTAATTTTTTTATAACATGCATCAAGAAAATGGAAACGTAAAAGCTAAAATTGATATCATGATCTCTATAATCAACTGTAGATCTTCAAGACCTTGTAATCAATTTAGATTTATTAGAATAATATATATATATATATATATATATATAATATGAATTTGAGTTAGAGTTTTTGTGAGTAGAATGATATAAGAATGGATCTTAATTGGAGAAAGAACCCTCAAAGTACAAAAACTGCGACCTTTCTCCCTCTCTTGAATTTGTTACTCCTATCCTCCCCCTTTTATGACTCAACGATTATTTTATTTCTTCTTTTTATATTATGAATTATATTTTTTTTTATTTTTATATTGTGAAATTAGGATTTTTTATATTTTAAAAAAGAAAATTAACATAAGATATTGCAGTATCTTAAAATTCAATACTAAAAATATTTTTTCACGAGTGAATAATTGAAAGCAATTAAAAAATTAAAAAAATTCATTTTGTACTTGTAACAAATTTTAGATTTTTTTCTCCTAATTGATGTTTATAAATTTCTAAGATATTTTAAATGAATAAAAGTGTATAAAAGACAAATTTTTACTCAAATACTAATATAAAATGAAGGGACATATTTAGTTATAAGAGAGTAGGGTAGTTGTCCAACTGTTTTTTTAATCATTTATAAATTTATAAACAAAATATTTTAAATCTACGAAATTTTGCAAAGTTCACAAAGTCTCACAAAATCCATTAAAATCTTAACTTAAAAGTCTTGCAAAATTCATTAAAATCTTAATTGAAAGTCTTGCAAAATCCTACAAAATCTTAAAAGTCATGAAAATTCTACAAAATCTTTTAAAATCCACAAGACTTTTTTCAACTAAAAAAGTCTTTTAAAATCCTAATCTAATACACCCCCTTTAGTTAGTAATTGTATATAATTCCTTTTCTTTCTACCTCCGTATAACCAAATTACTAATTCACTAATATTAATATTAAGAAAACTAAAAAAAATAAATTTTTATTTTTGAAAATATTTTTGCACTATTTTTTTTTCATAATTAATATTGTTAACTTTTTTAACCAATTATAATACATATATTTTAAAGTGTCTATAATTATAGATTCCATCAAATTAAGAGAACATATTTTAATTAAGATCACTTTAATTTTGAAATAATTAACATATCAAATATTATGAATTTGATCTTATATAAAAAAATAAATAATTACTTTAAATTGGATATTATAAATCTATACTAATATATAAAGGGCATACCCTTTTAGTAACTACCTTGGTTTCCATATTTGGTTGACATTATACCCTTTAATTTTAATTTTTTTTAAAAATAACATTTTTTAATCAAATTTAAGAACTCAAAATTAATAGACTAATTATAATATCAATTAGACCAACATATTTTCATTACTTAATTTTTATTTTTTTTATTTTTAATAAAAGCATAAAGTGCCTCAATCCTACTAGTAAGAATAAAGATTATATTATTTTATAACATTCATATTAATTTTTATAAGAAATGATTCACACAATATTTCAAAATTAATAATTAAATATTAATATATACTCGTAAGACGTGATTAATTTATACTCATCAAACATTATTTTCATAGGACAAAAATAAAACCTAAGAGAACTATGTCAATTCTCTTATGTCAAGACAAAATTTACAACCATTGAGATAAAAAATTTGGTTATAATATTCGATATATATTTTTTAATATTATCTTCACCATATTATTTGTCTTATCCAATATTTTTCTCATCTTTTACTTTTAGTGTCTCTCTTTATTTATTATATAAAATATATAATTAATTGATAAATATAATTTCTAAACAAATAACATACAAAGCTTCAAAGACAAAAGTATTTCATTTTGTGAAAGTACCCATATCGGGTAGATCGTGGTACATATGTAGATGTAGACATTGATTACGTTTAGACGCTTACCAGTTACCACTAGGTGTGCCCTTAGGTATTACTTCAAATTAATTTTTCCTAAAAAATGATGGTTTTTAGTTAAAATAAGGGAATGTTTTCCTTTATTCCTCTCATTTATTTTTAGTTTCATTACTCAATTAAATTCATTCATCTTTACTTATGAAGTTATGAAATATGAACTTGTTAAATTCTTTTCTTAAATGTTTATAATAATCTACATATATGTTATTTAATTTGTTATATTGTGTATAGTAATATAAACATTGTCCAACACTTCTCTCACATGTCACTTACTGATGTATTGCGCTCTCAATTTTTCTCTTACTTTTCATTTCACTAACCCTTTTTTATTTTCTCTTTCACTTTTGCCTTTTCTCTCTTGTATTCTATATTAACATATCATTACCTTAAATTTTTGAAGATTATCGATTCCATACCAGTATGAATGCAATACAGGCTTTCAATCTTCCCTTAAAGTAGAGAGCGTTGTATCTTTAGACTGAACAAGAGGAAAAGCCCAACTATATGAATCAACAAATGGCCTATTAAGGTGGACTTGGTGGTAAAAGATTTGAGTAATTTGTAACAATTCTAGATTCAAATTTTTCTGTCGCCAAAAAAAAATTTATTTGCTAGGGCAAGTTAATGTTGCATATTCACAAATCAAAACCATTGACAAGTCTCAGAACACTCGTTAAAATTGTGAGACTCTACAATCACTCAAGTAAATGTGTTTTTTGGTTCCATGTAAAGCATTCAATGCACATTCAGCCAAAAGTTACAGAGTACCATCTATAATTTTGTAATTTGACTTGAAATTTTGAGAGCAACGCAGTTTCAGGGTGTGAATCCAAACACAGCTAAAAGCTGCATCCTAAAAGAAATTAAAGAAATGGTTGGTTACTTTATATTGATGAGTGTGAAACTTGAGAGCAAAACTAAGATTTGGGGTGCACTAAAAATGTAAAGGGTCATCTCAAATAATGTCATACTTAAGTAGCAAAAGGAAAAGAATCCTTTCACCCTTTTTCTCTTCAGGGGACTAAGGAGTCTCTCTTTGTATTCTTGAGGGAACCGGTGGCTTCATTATTCCATCTTTACCTCTTTCACAGTTATCTTCTTTTACAGTACATAGCACTCTATCTGGACTGTAATATCCCTTTAAGACATTGCTTGAATTTGAAGGACTAGATGTTTTTATCATATAAGAAGTGTTGCTACCCATAGGAGAACTAGGTCCAGTTTTGGTTGACACTACATCTTCCCGAGCCAAAGGTGAAATTGAAGGCTGTTCATCAGTATCAATTTCTTTCCTAGAGAGTTTATCTTTATCTTCTACAAGATCATAGTTATTTGCAGTCCGTGCTTCTTGAGCAAGAGAGCACCAGCAACAGCATAGCCAAAGTGTGCAATCAGAAACTGAAGTCTTGCCAAAACAGAAGTCATAGGCAGGTAAATTGAATCTCTTTCTCATTTGGATCCTCCAAAAGCCACCATAAAGTAAACCAAGGAAACAAAGTATGATTCCAAAAACTACTAGAGCCTGCCTAACATTGTCATCATCTATGTTAACAGAAGCCAAAACAAAAATCCAAAAAGGAGCCATACAAAACAGCATAAAAGTGGCAATATGAACATACATGTTTCCAAAGCCAAGCCTCTCCATATTCCACCCAAACACACAAAAGGTGCAGAAAAGTGAGAGATATGCTAAGGAAATATCGTTCCAAATGTCAAGTACTCCTCCACTCCAGTTTGGTCTATTTTCAACAACCCTTTGTTCATTTTTGGATGCAAATGAATATTTCTTCTCAAATGGTTTCTCTCTAAGCTGCTCTTGCCTTTGAGAAGCAGTAATTTGAAGCTGTGCTTCTTCATCAATCTCACAATCATAGTCCTTCCCAAGTGGGCTAAGAATAGTGTACATGCCAGCAACTGCAGGAGCAGCAATTGCAAAAGTTATGCATATTCCAACACCAATGGCAGGTCTCTCAGACCTTTTATACCCTATGTTTAGACCACAGAGTGCATATTGAGCAAAACAGTTAACATGAAGGAGAATGATCACTACCATCATATGAGCACACTCATGTGGCTTATAAGTGCCATTCTTGCAGTATACCTTTCTTAGTCTAGAGATGTCATTTGGTCTCCATCTGATCAGAAGAACAAGGTGGTAGAACCTCTTAGGATGTTGGTACAAACACATGAGTGTAAACAGTGCATTGAGTATTTGGTTGTTTACTTCAAACCAAGCATTTCTCTGAGACTTTCTTGGTATCACACCATTCAACATGCCTGTCATGACAAGGAACAGAATTGCACCCGAAACAGCGACACAGGTGATCCACATAAAAAGTGCCATGTTCACCGGGCTTCTGATCCATTCCATGCACATCTTCTTGACTGAACCCCCATCAAGCTTCTGAGCAAACAAGCCACTGAATCGTGCTTTTAGGCTCTTTGGACGAGAAGGCACAGATAGTGAAACCTGATCTCTCTCAGTAGCAAGCCTCTTGAATTTGGCAGATGCAGAACCAAATTTAAGAAACTTTATCCTATTAGGAACAGAAGAACTTAAGGTGCCTTGAAGCTTACTCTGAGGATCTTCACTGCTCAGAAATGTTTTGTCTGTTGTTGAAATATCTATAGATGCAAACTCCTTCACTTCACTCACATTAGATTCCTCAATTTCATCTTTGGGATTTCCAATCCCATTATCAAGTGAAATCATTCTGATTAAAAAACTCAGACCGTTCTAGATCAAATCAGAACAAATACTGCGAAGAGGAAACTATTCCAAGATTACAAATCCGTACTAAACTTCTTATGGATCCATCCAAGCACCGAGGAAGATGACAAAGCAAATATAAAAAAAAAAAAATAAAGACAGAATTGGTTATTTATTTGATGATGTCCCAAGATTATTATACACTTAATAAACAATTTAAAACCAGAAATGAAAATCGAAATCAAATTATAATTATACAACAAAAATCAGCTCACAGTACAGTGACATATGCATGAGACAAACACCCAAACAGACAGGCTCACATAGTTTTTTTAAGAATAATTTAAATTTTGAAGGCACAAGTTGGTGGTGAAAAATTGTAAGGAGAGTTAGACATACCGATTAGCTGGCTCATGACGATGAAGAAGTGTGAATGCAAGTTATTTGAAGTTGTTCAGAAACAAGAAATTGTATGCAATCAAAAGTACAAAGGTAAAGTAAAATAAATAAATAAATAAATAAAAGTGACACGCATAAAGTAGCAAAAACAAGAAAAACTCCTGGTACTCACAGGTTACGCAGTCAAAGAATGTGGGATGAATTAAGATTGTCTTTTCAATTCAACGTCCAAATATAACTGCTGGACGCTGGTTACCGGCTGCCACCGTCCAGGAAAAGTAAAGGCAAAGGAAGTACTGAGAATATGATAAATTCATTTTGTGGGGCAAAAGGCTAACAAAGAAGATCAAAAGTATCAACTTGTCAACCATCAATGCATCATCTCTCTTTTATTTCCATGCACGAACGTAATTAACTATCTTTTTTCTTTTTTACTCAGATAGGACCATGAGCTATCCGGCTATCCCTCTTTATATTTAACAGTTATATTTATAACTCAAACTTGAAATTACTGATTTACCAATTCATTCTTTCATTATGATTTACCAAATCATACTTTCATTAATAAAAAGTCAATAAAAAGCATATTAATTAAATTATTGACAAAACTTAATTAAATGATAATGTTTATTAGAGTGTCTTATTGAAGGAATAAAAAAGCTGCGACTGTTTTGTACTTTTATTGAGATTGGAAAAAGAATACGACCATGATAATCAAGAGAAAAAATATAAAAAGTTCAGTTCCCATTTTCTCTTTGAATCTTTCCTTTACAAAAATTAAGTCGAAATGTAAAGCAGAACTGTCATGATGCATTGTTGGGGAATGAAAAAAGTGAAAAAGAGAGCGATAGAGTTGCGAACAGTTGGGCTTTCTTTTATTATTCTACTGAATTATCTTTCCTTGCTCTCACGAGGATGATGGGCATAATTTGCGATTGAGAACCTTCCTTAGATTCCATATAAACTATAATTTGTTTACCATTGGCTTTACTAGGCGAAAATCTTACCGAAGAAAACCACCAACTTACTTACAACTCTATATATTAATTGGCAACGTATTCATATATTTATAAATAAATTGTGATGATTAGCTTTTGTTTACGAAGTATTGCCATAAAATAAAGATTTGCATAAACCAAGTGTAAAACAAGTAATGATAATAATTCAATTCATAATGATTAGATAAGATTAGATTCAAGCAACCTCATTAAAACTCATTTCTTGAATTCAGTCAGACCAATTCAATTGAAACCAAAGCAAGTACACGCCGTAAGTAGTGTGTAGGATGAACAACTGAACAGACACGCATAGTACAATGTAAATCACCAAACAATAGGAACAAACACCACAATAATACAGGGACAATTCAAGTAAGATCATCCTCCTCAAGTTCTTTAGCTTTCAGCTTTTCCTTCACCCTCAAAAGAAGTGTGGTCTTCCAAGAATCCTGCTCAAGCACACGGACAATGTTGATGAGCTAGAAACACTAATAATATATACGGAATGCACAAGACTCCTTATAAAGTATTTATTAGAAAGTTTATCCATACAAACCGAAGAGCTTATCGAAGTATCCAACAAGCTTATTACATGAAGGCTTATACAATAAGCTTGATAACGAAGTTTACATAAGTAAATTAAAAAGAAATTGTTTTGATATATTGCACCGTGAAACTTGAGATTAGGAATACACATAACGATCAAGCAACCAAACACAAAAATTGCACTCCAGGTAATCAAATAGAACTTGAATTTCTGGGGGCAATTTCAAACCGGTGTAAGTTAATGAAAATATTTCCATTTAATTGTTGTAAAAATGAGAATTCAGTTATTAGAGATTGTGTTTATTGTTATAAAATGTGGAAGAAGAAAAAATACAGAGGGAATATTCTTGTTAAACACTTGAACAACACTTTCCTAGTTTACAACTTTTGGAGCTTACCAGAGGAGTCATGCTATCAAATTCCTTGACAACATCAGTAAACTTCACAACATCTTCTTCATCAATTGCAGCAGCAATATCCTATGCACCAGCATAAAAAAAATGTCAGTATTTCATTAGGCAAATGTACGAGTAAATCAACCAACAAAATAGTCACACTGCTATGCTAAATACCAAAATGCAATAAAATATTATGATGCAGGAGGAAGTTACAAAGAAGTCCAAATATTTTTATCCATACTACTTAGTCATGAAAATATAATAATGAAATTACAAAACTAGTGACATACCGCCAACAATCTATATTCACGTGTTCCCGAAAATGTTGGATCTAATTCCTGCATAAGAAATACATATCCAAAGAATTGAGCAACTAGTAAGATGTTCAGTCTCCAGATGTGAATTATTGAAAAAAAAAAATTGGACCTGATATCGTTCTAATGCATTTGTTATAGCAATAACGTCCCCTTTACAGAGTTGGCAGATGCCAGCATTAAGCAGGTGTCCTTTAACTCCGTACTTCAGCAAATTATTGTTGAGGGATTGGCGAGCTATCTCTTCATAAATATCAATTGATTTCTGATATCTGGAGTTATCATAACATAAACAGTTAATATTCAATTTAAAATAACAAGAAAGCTCTGAAAAAGTTCCTTCCATTAAAAAAAAAAAGTGAGTTTCTTTAGCAGTTCCTGCTATAACTAAAACAAATCACACACAATATGCAATCCAGACCAGGCGCAGCAATGAACTGACTTTTGTTCACACCATGTAAACAAGTCAACATATTATGGATTGTGGAAAAAAACATGCCAGATTTCTGTTAAGATTATTTATACCCATACCAATAAATTCTCAGTGTCAAACAACCTACAGTAAGCTGTGCTAATGTTAACCAGAGAAGGAGAGTGGGGTGGAGAAAAGCTACTGAGCAAAATGAAGACCAATAAGAAAATTCCAAGAAGAAATTACTAACCAATAAAGAATAAATCCAAGTCGAAGAAATATTAATCAAGTCATCAACTATTAGAAAAGATACAACATGCTGAAAGAACAAAATCTTACTGTTCTAGCTGAGCAGCAAACTGGGCGACTTTTTGTTTGCATTGGTTTGCAGAAGTTGTCACTTCTTCATTTTGAAAAAAATCAGCTGATTTTTCAAAGTACACAAGAGCCTGCTCAATATTCTGTTCAGACTCGTACAATTCTGCAATTTCCTGTATAAAATAGTGAAACCCAGTTAAAACATGTTAATAGTGACTTAGGTGACATCATATATGTTTAATTCTTGAATTACACAATCAATATCAACAAGCTAGAATATGGGCAAGAGAATAAATTAAAAAAGATACCAAGAGGAGGGATATCAATGTAGCACAGATAACCAAATATGCATTCCAATCCATTAATTTAAATATTCATACTAGAGGTGATAAATGGATGAATCGTATAATTTTTAAACGGATCATATTGGACCAAATAAAAACAATCCATTAATTGAATAAAAATTCACTTAAAAACTCAATCCATTTAAAGAGAAAAAAACATAAAATCCATCCATTAACAATTTATTTATGGATGGATATCCAATCCATCCATTAAAGTTATATTTTAAAATTAAATAATTTTTATTTTAAAATATTTTATTTGTATTTCTTTCCTTTACAAGTCATAGCATTCTTACATAGTCTTTAAAAATTCACAAAAAAAATATTTTAAAATAATCTTTTAAAATCTCAATCCAATAAACATCTCATTGTAATTTAATGAGTTTTTAAAAATTAGTAGATGAATCACTAACCATCCATAAAATTAAATGGATAGATTAAATTCAATCCTTATTTATTTTTACTGTAATGGATGAATCGGATGGATTTATTTGTTGATGAATCTAGAAGTGGCAAATGAATCCATTTATCCATTATTCATCTGATCCATCTACAAGTAAATCCACCCATTACAATAAAAATAAATAATGAATTAGATCCAATCACCCATTTAATTTTATGGATGACTAGTAATCCATTAGATTATAATATGAGATGCTTATTGGATTGAGATTTTAAAAGACTATTTTGACATATAAAAAAAATTCTTGTGAATTTTAAAAGATTATATAAGAATGTAATGACTTATAAAGAAAAGAGAGAAATAAAATATTTCAAAAATAAAAATTATTTAATTTTTAAAACATTACTTTTATGGATGTATTCAATATCCATCCATGAAAAAATTGTTAATAGATGGATTAGATGGATTGGATTTTTTTGTGAATTTTTAATAGATCTAACTGGATAAATGGATTAATTTTATCCAATCCATTATGATCTGCCTAAAAATTTATCCGATTCATTCATCCTTTTGCTACCCCCAATGAAACGGATGAATGATAGATAAATGAAATCTTTTGCCACCCCTAATTCATACTGAAACAAAAATATAAAGATATAGTAATATACCTTTAAATATCTAGCAGCCATAGAGAGTCTTCCGATGTCACAGAAAAGATTAACAGCATTGTCCAAGCAAGATACCGCCTCTGTATTCAAAAAGAGAAAACGAAACTTAAATTGTCTTGTTACTAATGGAAGTGAGGAGTGAGAACATACTAAGACAAGCTAGACCATTATACAATTTGTTTCTGCTTAGGAATATAATCATGAGTTCCAATCTAACAATAGTCCGCATATAAGAAATCAAAATATAGGTATGACACGTGTAGACAGTCTTTAAAAAAAAAAAAAAAGGCAATCACACGGAGTTCAGACATAAGGAACACACAAACTAATCTAGATAAAAGTATGAACCCCCAACTTAGAGCTTATCTATACCAAGCCCATTATTTGATTTTACACATGGAAAAGATTAAACAATGAGGTACAAAAAGGGCTTCTTATATCATTTATTCATGCAAAAATGGTGCAATTGTTCTATATGATTTGTGCTAGAATCAATAGGGAGAAATATCAAGGACAAAAGGAATTGGCCTTGCTGTATGGAAGCAAGAGAAACATTTAAAGCATAAACCATGAAAGAGAAAAAAAATCCCGTGTATGTATAAGTAACAGAGTACATGCATGCATACCGTTTATATTCGTCTTCTTGTAGCAGTGTGCAGCATCAACATAGGCCTGTGCAGCTTCGTGCTTGCTTTCCAACTAGAAAAATAAGACATCAATGTCATTGCATGCTCCATAGAGAACTAAGGGATGCAAAAGAGATTCAACAGGATAAACCCCCCACTCCAAAATCTCGCTCCTGTACGTTACCTTCAGATGACAACTCGCCAACTTTAGGTATGTCGATCCTGCTTTGTCCCCTAAAATGTCACATAGATCAAGTAAAAAAAATGTCCAAAGCCATTCCAATATCGATTTTAAACTAAGCCACATTAAACAAAATAACGCAATCAGTCATCAAAGTGAAGGTGAGCATTGACATCACTTAATAAGTTGATTATTGTACATAAGTCTAATCACCATGAAACGAATTGATCAAGTTAAAATTCCTTTCAAATAAAATAAAATTAAAGCTAGGAATTATTTTTTCCGCTATCTTTTTTGGAGAGTTCTGCATTAGGAAACGGAAATCAGACACCTAAAATCCACACTATCCGATTGCAGTAATAACAATAGAATGAGTGAAAATCGAATTATCTCAATTAATCAACATTTATTTGAGACACGAAATGGAATTAAAAAAAATGAATAGAGAGAAAGAGAGAAAACATGTTTTGGCGAGCTTGAAGGAATTGGCGGCTTTATCGAAGAGATCGGCGGCATCTTCGTATTTAGAGCCAAACAAGCCCCAGCCGCTGAGCTTCTTCTCGGCTTTCTTCAAGAATTCCTCTCCCTTGGATAACTGATCGGCCATTTTTGCTCCGATCGAAAGCGAGTGATGGATGGATGGATTAGTTGAAACGACTGTGTTGCGTTGCAGGAACCAGATTGAGACTCATGCGCCAAGGAGAAGGAGCGCAAAGATAAAGATGTTTTCGACTCTGTTGACGACAAAGTCCAAATCCAAAACCGCAAGCGAAGAAATCAGAAAATAGAAGCAGCGTTAGGGGGTTTGAAGAATCGCGAGAGAAAGGGGAATGGTCAATTTTCGCTTTTTTGGAAAATTGTTTCCGAGCTCCGTCTTGGGCCGGTTCTGCCTTTTCTTTGTTCTGTCGTGGGTCCATCTTAGTTTTTTGGGCTTAGGCTTCTTGGTTCTTGGGACTTGGGCTACTTTGAGTTTTTCAATGCTAATGCACAACACAAATGGAACTAAAGAATACCTAACTTCGTTAAAATGAAATTAATATCACTAATTAAAATAAAATAACACTACGTTAATTGATTTATTCTCTCATTGGTTATAAATTTTTAAAAGAAATCTTCCCAAACATGTACTTGCGACATAATCAATGATTTTAGAGTAAAAATAATACTAAATTTATGATTTTGTTAATTCTTATGAACTGGGCTCAAGTCTAACTCGTATTATACCTCCACTAAATTTAAAAGTTCTAGAGAAATGTTGACCAAAGTCATCATCACAAGTAAAATTATTTCAAATATACATCAAAGCAACGTATTAATTCCTATTTGTCGAGGAAAAGAGCTAGTAATAGTGAGTTTGGAGCAGTTTGGCGTTGGCCTAATTCTTAAGAGGATTCAGATTTTAGTCAGGAAGATAGTTGTGAATGCCTTATTTACTAATGATCTAATGATGTTAGGTTTGCTAAGCACTAAAGCACATGATAGTAGATGCCTCCTGTGTGTGGTGACGATGTTGAAACTGTTGACTACATTTGTAGAACATGTGTGATTCCCATAGGCCATAACGGTTTGGTATCTTTTGCTTCCAGCATATGCTAGTCCACAAGTTGGCCAATTATAAAAGGTGTCATACAAATAATTTAAAAGTTTTTTTTATTCTGTTTAGTCTTTTATATTTTTAGCTATTCAAGCTTATTTTAGTTTTATTTTATTTTTGCATGGATTTTAATTGATTGTTGTTAGGGCCTCTCTTCCGTCTTTAAAAAAAAAAAAAAAAAAAAACCTAAAAGGTCATCGACCCATGTTTAAGATATTTCAATCTAATTATGACACCTTTTTCACATTAAGATTGATTCGATTCAAATATTAGTTTAAAGACTAAATAGTGTAGTCAAAGTTGAATGGTGAATATTAATTAAATAATTAAAAATTATTTTTATAAAAATATTAGATAAATATAATGTCATAAGTTTATAATATTAAAATCTAAAATAAATTAGTATTTTTTATAAATTCTTAGTATTTAAAACACACCTAAAACTCTAAAATAAGGTTTTTAGGTTTTATAATTTTAGAATGTCAATCTAATAATGGTGATTGAAGTAATATGAATAAAGTTTTGTTTTAAAAAATTTTTTCATTATATTGTGAGTTGTGGAAATGTTATAATTATTTTAAATTGTTTCATGTTTTTAAGCTGAGTCTGTTAATCAGTGTTGAGAGACTTTATAGTATAAGGATCTCTTAGGAATCTTAGTAGTACTAAGAGTTTCTTTGGACAAAATGTTAGTTTGACTAGAAAGAAAGAGTATATAAGATTTTTGTTTTGAACAAAACCTCATAAACTCTTTTCCTCAACATTCTAGAGAGAGAATTTTAAAGAGAATGACTTTAGTCGGTGAGCTTATCTTTCTCTCAATCTTCTCCTTTTCCTTCTTTGATTTACTCTATGACACTTTGTTGGTAAATTCAAGTGCTTTGGAGGTAAATTCAAGTGCTTTGGAGCCTTGAATTGAATCAAAGATCCATTTGAAGTCGTTTTGTGAAGTTTTCATGTTGCATGTGTTGAAACCTTGTTAGATTTTAGGTTTTGACTCAAAATTGGATTCTGCATATCGCATTGGGCACCCCATAATGGCACCAAGCGTCATTCTAGTTTGAGGCTTTTTGTCTCGATCACATTGATCACATGATCGATGGCATTGGATGTGGAGAGAGACTCATGTCGAGTTAAAATTGCATTAGACGTGAGAATGTTGGGAGGCCTCTGACTTGGTGACAAACCCAAAGTTGAGTGGTGTCAAACGTGGTCAAGTCAAAGCTCTTTTTTTGGATAACGTCAAGTGCCAGAATGATTGTCGCAACCCGAAAATTTCCGATCTTGCGACCTATGGTTTAGACATCCTTTTAAAAATCTCATCAATTAAGGAATGCCCAAACACCAGACTAATCCTTAATTAATGGTTTTGAAAATAGGTTCATGGAGTCGCCACCAATATTTTACTCAAAACATTGGAAAAAGAAAAGGTTTTTAAAAGTCCAATAATGGCCTTGATAACCAGAATTGGGTTCGGGGGTCGGTTACGTGTAGGGAAGGTATTAAGCACCCCTACAACGCCCTTAATCGGTACCCTATGACGAAGTTTAACATTATAAATAATAATAATATAAATATTAAATCCCCTTTTATTGATGACTATTTACATGCTTGAAATTTAAATTAAACAATTGACTCTAAAATATCTACATGATTATTTTTATTATAACAATGTAAAATAAAAGAAGAGAAAGATAAAACAAGAGATTGATGAGTAATACCTCGTAACAAGCTTTATTGGATCTTCAACTATGGGGATTTTAGGTGCTTTGTGGCAACCTTTCACACTACAATAAGCCTCACAAAACTCAAGAAGTACAATAGGAGAGAGAGAGAGAAAAAAGGGAGAAATTTCGAGCTCTATGGAGCTTTGGACGAAATTTTGGAGGTCCCCTAAACTGCTGGCCGAGATTCTCTATTTATAGGCATCAGATGTGGGCCGGAACGGCCCGTTTTGGATTCGGAACGGCCCGTTCCGGATCCGAACGTTATGCAGTACATTTGCACCCTAGAACGGCCCGTTCTGAAACCAGAACGGCCCGTTCCAGGGAACCAGAACGGCCCGTTCTGATTTCAGAACGGCCGTTCTGGGGTACAGATTTTAAGCCCCATTGATTGGTTCGGAACGGCCTGTTCTGGTCTAGAACGGCCCGTTCCAACCTATATTTTTTTTAGGCTTTTTAGAAGCCCAGAACGGCCCGTTCTGATTGAGAACGGCCCGTTCTGATTGAGAACGACCCGTTCTGATTGAGAACGGCCCGTTCCGGACTTGGGAACGGCCCGTTCCGATTTTGGAACGGCCCTTTCCGGGCCACTAAAAATTGGTTTGGGCCTTTGGGCCCTCTGATGTCCTATCTTGTTATTTGTATGCCCCCCGGACGAAATTGGGTGTCTACAATGAAGACATCAAATGTGAATCAAACAAAGACTCGTTGCTTGCAATGAGGTCGGGCATTATCATTTTGCAAACGCTCCTGATGCAACACACTTTGCATCTGATGTCATCAAGGTAGGAAATTCTTTGCTTGCCCATGCCCAATGTGGATAAGGCAGAGGCCCCTGAAACCTCACGCCTGGCATGGTCAGATATCACGTCTGACCCCATATCAAGCAGAGAGTTTCTACCTGACTCACATTCAACGTCACCATATTGGGGCTCAACATCATCCATACATAGAGTTCTAGCTTGGTCACACTAGCGCCACTTAAACTTGGGCCTAATGTCACCAAGTCAAAGACTTCACAAGGTTCTCAGGCTCCATGTCATTCCAACCCGAGACAAGTCTCTCTCCTCATGCTTGGTACCACCAATCATGCACCTAATGTGAACGAGACAGAGAGTCTCATGTTGGAACAACATCCAACACCTAGAATGTGCGTTCAATGCGATATCAAAATTTTGCATATGTAGAATTCAATTTTTACTAAACACTTGAAATTAAGCGAGGATCCAACACATGTAACACCAAACAACAATTATACACATCATAATCAACATAAATATGCCTTTAAAACTAACATGCAACAACAAATCATTCAAGTCTTGCTAAGAACCTCAAACCCCAACCTTCCTTTTCAACACACTTTGATTGATCAACTCAGCCATGAATTTCAATGGAGTTTATGTAACATACAACTCAAATAATCTCTACATAACTCAGCTACTCAACTAAAATACTAAGTTTAACTTCCCTCATCTCGAAAGCGAAAAGAACTAGGGAAGGAGAAAAAGAAAACTTCGAATAATCCACAACACAACTGCAAATAGATCTACAACTCAATTCAAGGTTCTTAAACACCTGAATCCAACAACAATACAACTACAATGAGAATCAAAGAAACAGAAAGAGAAGATTTAGATAAAAGAGAAGTTTACGAATCAAAGTCCTTCTATTTAAAATCCTCTCATTAAGTCGTTGAGAAAACGAATTTATGAGACTTTATTTAAAACAAAAACTTTATATGCTCTTTCTTTCAAAGTTTAATTAGATCTCAATTTAGAAAAACTTTCAACACTACTAAAATTTCTAAAAGATCCTCATATCCTAGAATTTATCAATACTAAACAGCAGCTCAATTAAACAACATGAATTAATTAAAAGAATTATAATTATAACGTTATACCATTGAGTGTTATATTACTTATTTTTCACAATAAAAATGGAATGTTATTTTTTACAATAAAAATGGAATGAGATGGAAGATGTTATTTTTTTTTTTGAGAATCAACATTGTTCAAAATATAAAATAAAATGTTTAAATCTGTATATCCAGCATAAAATCTTACATTTTTTTAGTCTATTTTCTCGAAAATAACTTTACATTACTTAGCTATTCCTTATAAAACAAAATAAAGCTACATTACTAGCTTAAAATTGATGGAGGTTCGAGAATTCGGGAGAGAGATAACGTGATAACTGACATGGCAACGACAAGATTGTACGGTATTAATGTATTTAGAACGTGGAAAAGAAAATTATATATGTTTTTTTAATATTTATACTTTATTCTTAGAGCTAATTATTTATATTGTTATCGTAAAATTTTTTATACTAATAACTAATTATATTATTTAAATTATTTTATTTTATTATTATTTTATTAAATAAATAATTAATATAATATTATTAAAAAATATAATTAATTATTAATATAATTTTTTTTTACACTGATAATATATAAGTGATGATAATATATAAGTGATTAGCTATTATACTTGTAACCCAAACATAAAGTATGGTAAGCACTAGCAAGCTCATCGGACATAAAGGCTCGCTTTA